ACAGTTTCTTAAGAGAAAACAATTTCTATGTAGTCATTCTCCTTTTACTCATGAGTGTGTGGCTAGTCGTTTAGGAAAATTACAACGTTTGCCTTTTATGGATGCTAGTCATAATTCAATTTTCACTCTAGAAATTATTCATTCCGATGTGTGGCAGTCTCCTGTATTTTCCAACATGGGATTCGAGTATTATGTATGTTTTATTGATGATTTTTCCCGCTATACTTGGATTTATCCTATGCATCACAAAAGTGATGTTTTATGCACTTTAAAAATTTCAAGGCTTTGGTTGAAAATCTTTTTAATCATAAAATTAAAATTTTCAAAGTGATGGAGGGGGTAAATTTGTTAATCATAATATGCAGCAATTTTTCTTGGCTAATGGTATATATTTTCGAAAATCGTGTCCTGACACACCTCAACAAAATGGGGTTGCTGAGCGCAAACATCGTCATTTACTTGAATTAACTCGGACCATGCTTCTTGAAGCTTCGGTTCCGAGTCAATATTGGGTTGATGCCATTTTTACTGCTGCATATATTATTAAAAGATTTTCCTCTCCTACCTTAAATGGCTTTTCTCCGTACCAAAAACTTTTTAACCGTGTTCCAGATTACTCCTTTATGCGAGTTTTCGGATCTGCCTGCTATCCGAATTTTTCAGCCACCTCAGCTAATAAATTATCCTCTCGTTCTGTTCAGTGTGTTTTTCTTGGCTATGCATCTGGTTATAAGGGCTATCGTTGTTTTGATCCTATCACAGGTCGCGTCTATATCAGTCGTCACGTTAGGTTTCATGAGGACACATATCCCTTTAAAACACTATCACATAGTCCAACACATTCTATCCCTACTACACACTCTCCGATGAACCTAACTGATGTTACCCTTGACCCACCAGTCGAGTCCCCTATCATCACCATGAACCAACTCCCGCAACGGCTCCCATCCCCTTTTCGGCCACCTAGTAGTCCTATCACTTCCTCTGTACCATCGTCAAGCTTCCCCATGCCAACCAACAACCTGCCACCCTCACCTCCAGCCGAACTCCATCCAGCCTGCCAGATATCACCTCCTCGGCCGACTGTTGAAATAGGAGTAGAATTTTAAAACTCCTCAAGTAGGAGCATTTTCTTTTAAATAGACAAGGATGCCCCTGCCATTGTTGTTGCCTGCTGCTACAGTACCTCCGGCTGTCGGAGTTCGCCAGACTCATGCCCCCGTGTCGGCCGCCAGAGCTCTGACGAGGTAAGGAAAATCAGATTCTCCCCTGATCTTCTTGCCACCGTAGATGTCGCCTGAGCTCCACTACCGGCCGTCTGCCACCGCCGGACTGCCCAGCCACCAACGCGCTCTGCCCCCGCCTCAACGCCCTGCCTCGATTGCCCAAGGGAACTAGGGGGTGGCAATTAATTAATTGAAATAGGAGTTAATGTTTACTCCTGTTTGGGAAAGATTAGAAACTAACTCCTATTTTGGGAAAAATGGTATGTTTTAGTCCCATTAAGGATAATTTCTTTTGCATGAAGTATTGGAGAAAGGGCCAAATAAGCTCTCAAATTATTAGTGATTCTGCATTCAGGACTCTGAACATGAATACTTGCATATACACTTTTCAACCCATTGAAAATTAAGCAATCAAATTTCTTTTAACCGTTGGTGTCAGTAATTTCAGAAAGTTATCTCCTTGCAAGTCTTCCAGGCCGGGAGACCGATTGCAAAATCGAAAGAGATAATTCCCTGTCTAGGAGTAAATTAAGTTTTAATTGCACCAACAGGACTGGCATATTCTGTAGGACTAAAAGGAGAAGGATTGCTAAAATCACCCCTATTGAACTAATCTTTATTATTAATAAAAAATAACATGATAATAAAAATATGAGAGGCCCAACATCACAACATGACCACAATAATCCCTGCACCACATCCAAAACCACTGGCACCGCCGCAGTCAACGACACCGCCGCCATCACTGACATCGCCACCGCCACCGCCACCGTCACCGACATCGCCACCACCACCACCACACAGGTGCCACCGGCCACTCCATCAGTGACATCATCTAGCCTTGATGTCGGCCGCCGCCATATCCGGCATCATCGCCGCCACCTCCGACGATGTCACCGCCTCATCCAAGTATCCAACACCATTGTCCCTCATCTGCGTGAACAGTGCGCCCTTTGGCGACGGCGCTGCCTCCAATGAGCCAATCACTTTAGATCTCAGATCTGGTATGACTACCACTGAAGTGCCATCTTGTGGTTCTAATGTCATCTTAATGATACTATTGCCATCCTGACAGAAATAAGATGTCATTTCGAATTAAAACACATGGCACTAATGTTTTACAAAATGAGTAGTATTGCCATCTTGAAGTGACATTTTTCATATTCAAAAAATGGCATTCATTCTTGAAGTGACATTTTCATATTCAAAGTAATAACATATATTGTAAAGGCAATCCCATAAAAATAAATAGTTATGAAATTAATTTTCAATAGATTATATTTAATAGGGAAAATAATAACATCTATGTCAATTTCATATTAAAAAATAATAATAAAAACTATAAATATAAAAATAAATAAAAATTCTCGAAAAAAAGAAAAACTAAAAATTTGGCAAATAACAAAATGAGAGATGGTGGAGGAGGAGGAGATTCAACCATACTTGGTTGTCGTCCGGTGGTGGTCACTCAACGTTTGCCTCCGCTCGGCGTCCTCATCGCTCGCTGATGGTCGAAAATGAAGAGAAAATCCATGTCCATATCACTGAAAATCTGCGAAGATGAAAAAAATCGAGATAGACAGAATGAAATTAAAGGTATTATAGAAGAGAAGAGAAAAAAATAGAGACATGAGACCTGGGGTTGTGGTGACAGATGCAAGAGAAGGGATGAGAAAGGAGAGAGGGAGATGTACGTGGGATTGGGGGAGAAGGGAGATGTGCGTACGAATGGGCACAGAAGGGTATAAGTGAAAGACAATATAATTTAATCCTATTTGGGGAATAAATTAAAGAGAGCTCTTATTTTTGAACTTTTCTGATATTTTACTCCTATTTAGGGTAATTACTTAAATCGAAAATAATTGGAGAATTTATTCCAAAACGGTAATAAGGTTTGAAACCGCCATATTCCCGACCTAAGGGACTATTTGTGTTGTATAGAGATGGAAGAAATATCTTTTTATTAAGAAGAACAAATCAATAAAGTTTGAAGCCATAACGAAATTCTAAAATCTACATAATCTAGGCCTGCCTATTTGAAGATAAATGACAACATTGTCTTGGGCCTAAATTAACAAAATCATATACCTTTCGGGTTCCTCCAACCCAATTCACCTTTAAACAACAAAAAACTTAGCTTTCTACAAAAAAAAAGGAAACAAAAAAAAAGAATAAACAATTAGTGCAAGATTGAAAGTTTATGCAAGGAGCACATGGTTATTATGTCGTAGGTTTAGTTTATTCATTGGCATATAACGTTGAACAAGAGGCGACAACATTCATATATGGTACATATGTCTTTTGTTTTTCTGGAAATTAAAGGTAAGTTCCACCGTACCATGACATTACAAGATGGTTTATAACGTTACGTATACTAGTCGCATAGTGTTAAAGTTCTATAATAATGGAAGCAGGACAATATTCAAATTGATCGAATAGTTTGAATATATCAAAATAGGTCAAATTTTGACAAATTTATTGAGTCAACTTAATATACTGAATATAGGAAATTACTCCCTCCGTCCCATAAAATTCTTCTTACTTTCCTTTTTGGGTCGTCCCAAAAAATTCTTCCCACTTACCATTTTTGTACAATTTCTGTGGTTCACATTCATTTCACTTTTTTTTACACAACCACAATCATACATTTTCACTTTATTCCACTTTCTTAATCTCCGTGCCAAGTCAGAGTGAGAAGAATTTTATAGGACGGATGTAGTATATATGTATTGTAAAATATGCTTCTTTAATGAAACGAGGAAAGAATCACAAGAAAAGCCATTACTCCCTCCGTCCCATATTTATCTTCATAGTTCGGTTTACGATGCTTGACTGACGATAAAGCAACTTGATCCATGTTCACACTCAGATTATTTTTAGTAAATTAAATTTACATATTCAGAAACAATATTAAATCCGCTACAAAATCTGATCAAAAGCAACTAAAGGGTTTAATGCATCAAGCTCTCATCAGATTTAAAAATTAAATGTATTAGTATCGTTTGATTCAAAAAATGCGTCAAAATCTAACATAAATTTAACAATTTCAAATTAAAATCAGTTTTTACTATTATTTTATTGAATATGCAAGTAAGTTTGTCAAAATCTCTAAATTTTACAAAAATAATAATAATTTTTCTTTTATTTGACAAATAAATTTGTTCATAAAAAGAATTCTGCGCGTGATTAGTAATAACACAAAGAAATTTGATGATTTTCTAAATCGCATAGAACTAATATTCTGCATTTTATATCACAAGAGGTTTAGTGCATTAAACCCTACTTTCAAAAACATTAATTAACATTGAAACAAAAAATGTTTATGGGCTCAAATGAGTACTCCGTACGATAAGTGATATTAGCTGTACGTAGCCTCGTTACCCTCGTGTGGTTAATTTGTCAGAAAATTCAGAATTGGGCTGTAAAACGGTTGGGACATGTCAACAACTTGAACCGAACATTTGTCACATAAAAAAGCTAAAAAAAAACTACAACTAAATACTAGTAGTAGTACGCAGTAGTATGTGTTGAAGCAGTACCGTTCCCGTGTGATTATTTAGAAGTTCTTCTCTTCGTCTTAATCTTATTATTTATTCCTTATTCTTATTTTATTCAGATCAGATTAGATCAGATCAGATCATAAAGATTCAGATCAGAAACATTCAGATCAGATCAGAAGCATCTAGATCAGATCGGAAGCATTCAGATCAGATCAGATCAGAAGCATTCAGATCAGATCAGAAGCATTCAGATCAGATCAGATCAGAAGCATTCAGATCAGATCAGATCAGAAACATTCAGATCAGATCAGAAGCATTCAGATCAGATCAGATCAGATTAGTTCAGAAATATTCATACCAAATTGGAAGCATTATATTATTATCTATTATACATATTACTATTACTATTACTCCCTCCGTCCCGGAATTATCTTCATTCTTTCCTTTTCGGTCCGTCCCAAATTTATCTCCTTTTTCCCTTTTTGGTAAAGAATATGTGGTTCACAACCATTCTTACACATTTCTCTCTCCTCTGCATAACTCTCCACCACACAAATCCCACTATCTTAAAACTCGTGCCCGGTCAAAACAGGAGTTAAATATGGGACGGAGGGAGTACTATTATTACTATTATTATTGTTATTTTTTATAATACTTATTATTATTATTATTATTATTAATATAAGGGATAAAGACCAAAAATGACATTAAGGTTTTTAGCGAATCTCGGATTAGACACTAACGTTTTAAGTAGACCAAATAAACACAAAATTATAGTTTTGGAGTCCATTTATACCACCCTTTAACGCTTCCGTTATCCTTCCCCGCCGTTACCCAAAAGCTCTTCCTCTTCGTTACCCAAAAGCCCTTGCCCACCTCAATCCCCGTTGTTCCCCGTCGCTCTGCCTTACCCCCTTGCCCACCCCAATCGACCTTGTCCATCCAACCACTGTCTTGCCCTTGCCAGCTCCCCAGCTCCAGATCCGAGCTGAGCAGCCAACCCCATATCCGCACTCCCTAGCTCGAACTTCGACCAACCATCCCCAGCCTCCCAAACCAGCCCCCACCCGAGCCCCAACCTCCTCGCAACCCCCTCTCAGTCTCGTAGCGCTTGTCACCTGCCAAGCTGTCGGCGAGATCCTATAGATCAAACGGAGCACGACCATATCTAGATCTTTGCCATAGACGTAGAGATGAAACGATGGTAAGGCAGAGCGGCGGCTTTGACGGCAAGGCGGGGAGGCGGCTTCGACGGCAAGGCGGGCGGCGGCTTCGACGGCAAGGCGGCGCGGCGACGAGGTGGAGCGGCGACGAGGCAGGACGATCGACCTCCATTGTTGCTTTCTCTCCTTAATCCCGATCCTTGCCATTGTTGTCTGCTCCAAGGTAGCTTTAATTGGATGGGGGAGTTGACGGGGAAGGGGTGTTAACGGGGAAGGAGTTAAAGGGTGTCAAAATGGACCCAAAAACTATAATTTTGTGTTTATTTGGTCTACTTAAAACGTTAGTGTCTAATTCGAGATTCACTAAAAACCTTAGTGTCATTTTTGGTCTTTATGCCTTAATATAATTACTATTATTATTACTATTATATAATATTATATATTACTATTATAATCCAACCTTTGAACCCCATCTTCATTCACTGGTCCCTGACCGATTTATGACCAGTTATTCCAAGTTATTTTCTTATCTTTGGAAAACATTATACCACAATTCCCACCTTATGATCACATAATGTTTTGCAAAGATAAGAAAATAATTTGGAATAACAGGTAATAAATCGGTCAAGGACCAGTGAATGAAGATGTGGTGCAAAGGTTGGATTATTCATGAATAATCAAAAGGTGAAACTATTGTAAGAAGACCGCTAAAAGGTTGAATTATTAGTTTTCATTTTCCCTACTAAAAATTACTCCGCAAAACATAACATTAATATATAATATTATATAATAGTAATAATAATAGTAATTATATTAATAATAATAATAATAATTATAAAAAAATAACAATAATAATTAAAAAGGTTGTTAATATCACAACTACTGCTACTTATTATTATTATTATTATTATTACTACTACTACTACTATTGTTATTATTATTGTTATAATTATTATTATTGTTACGGAGTATTATTTTTATTATACTTATTAAATAATAATAATAATAGTTTTTATTACTATTATAATTATTATTGATATTATTATTATTATTGTTATTGTTATTGTTATTATTCTTATTATTATATACCAATTTAAAAAGTTAAGATCAGATCAGAAACATTCAGATCAGATCAGAAATATTCCGATCAAATCAGAAACATTCAGATCAGACCAGACATATTGAGATTCAGATCAGATCAGATCAGATCAGAAAAATTCAGATCTGATCAGAACTTAAAAAATTAGACCAGGAACATTCAGATCAGGTGAAGAGAACATCTTCTTAATGACATTATTATTGCATCCCTTTATATTTTCATTTTCATAAAGCAAATACTAACTTTGTGTCCTATTATGGTTGAATAGAATTATTGATAAAATGACTGAAAAAGTAAAATAAAGTTGTGATTAAAATTTAAATACAATAAAGTGAAATATTGTAGAGCACAATTGTTTTTCCAAAAAATATTGAGACATCTAGTTTGGGGTAACATGACAAGGAAAGTAAGACAAGTAAAAGGAGAGATGAAGGAATATAGCAATTACAATAAGGGTAAAATTTAGAAGTAAATGTATCTACTTTAATTTTATTGCTTATTATTATTATTTTCATCAACTAGATTGAATTGATTTATCTATATTGTAAAATTTCAAGTTAGATTATAAATATTAATAACATCAGAAAAATTCAAATCAAACCACAAGCATGCACATTGCATCAACCGATAAAAAAATTCTTTAAAAAACATGACAAAAAGATCGTGAAATTTAGAGCCCGTTTGGTAGCATGAAAATCGGCTGTTTTGGCTTATTCTGCTGAAATTTATGAATTTCTGACTGAAGTGGCTACATTGGCTAATTCTGCTGATTTAAGAAAAAATTCTTTTTAAAATATATTTTATTAATAAAATGAAGAAAAAAATATATGTAAATTAGCTAAAATGGTCATCTACAATCAGTGGCGGATCTTGCAACCGGAAATTGGGTGTTCAAAAAAATATTATGGTTAAAATATTGAACAATAATGTTTTTCGATACCACAATTGAAGGAATGTAATTTTTTCAACCACAAAAAACTAGAAAAAAGGGTAAGGGTAACAAATATTGTATAAAAAATAAACTATATAAATTATTATATCAATTCTATACATGTATTTTTACATCTTATTTTCAAAATTTTGGGTGTTCGCCCTGAACACCCTTGAACAATAGCACGTTCGCCACGGCTACAATAGCTTCAGCCAATACAGCCAAAAAAGTAACTTCAATCTTACTTTTTCTGCTTATTACACAACTCAGCGCGCGAAAGCAAAACGTAAGTGTTTGGTGAAAAAGTTGGTTGATAAGCCCGATAAACCAAAAAACATTATTGCCAAACGGCCTCTTAGAATCAATTCAGTCCATCCAAATATCCAATTCACAAGATATCTCTCATCATCATTATTAAGTTTTGGGTTCAAGATGATGGATTAGGATTCTCTGCCTTAAGGCATAGTGCCTTACATGAATGGAGGGCTTTGATTTAATCAAAGACCTTGAGATGTGTGAACAAAATGGGTCCTTTCATCTTCTACCCTTAATTTTTTGATCTGAAGGTTGAAAATGGCCAGACACTCTCCTTGCCTGCCAAAGCAAGGCAGAGGCCCTTGATCCCAAGATGATATCTTGAAGTTTATCAGAATCTAATTAATTGTTTGTAGGAGTTTAATCGACTAGTCAACTTTGATACCCTATTAAATCTTAAGATTTCATTCTAAAACGGTCACCATATAAGGGATCTTTCATTCTAAATATATTGAGGTTGTTGCTCACCATCATCATTAAATTATTTTAAAATAAAGTAAATAAGATAATACTCTATAACTACTTAAATCAGATCGACTGAAAACAATTAAATAAGATCATAATTGGTATAAATTAGGTCAAGTAGATTTTTTTTATTAGATAAAAATATGGAAATCATAATATAAAGATTGTATTGGTCCGTTATATCGGGAAAAAAGAAAATCGAATTAGAAAAACTCAGATCAGTAGGCCAACTTACATTTAATCGGAAGGATTTAGATCTATTCATCTCAGAGGGATTTATGGATCATTCTTATTAGTTTGAAAAACCCAATCAAAAGTTATCAAAAAATAAATTTTGAAAAGAAGGATATGTTATATTATACTCCCTATCATATTGGACATGTTTGGCATTTAGCGGATATCAGATTAGGTTAACAAGTTGTCAATAACGGATTCAGTCACCGGGTTTGACTAAAGGAATTAGTTGGCAGGTTGTCAGAATATGTTTGATAATTTAGCTGTTTGGTCATAAAATTAGTAGAAAACGCCAACTCAAAACTCTCCTATTAGTATAGTTTCCATTTCAGCGTTTCCTCCAGTAAAATTAGTAGAAAACGTCAACCCAAAACTCTCCTATTAGTATAGTTTCCATTTCAGAATTTCCGTCCAAACACCCTAGTGTAGAACGTCTATTTACCAAACAATTTTTCATTTATTAAAAGTGCTAAAAGTGATCAAACTACCAAACAATTTTTCATGTTTGGTATCATTTACCAAACATGAAACACCCCATTGTATTAGACACCTCGTACTAGAGGAGGGGAGGGATTCTTTTGAAAACCCACAACAATAACTCAATAACAAGTATTTTTATACTCCGCATTAAATATCTGTAAATTCATTATTCCCTAATATTTCAAGTGTTCTCTCTAACAATCACATTTTATGAGTTCTCAATCGAATGAAAAACCATCTGCGAGTTTTTTTTATTGAAGTTGTTATATAGTAGTATTAGTAGTATTTTGCCGTCTCTTATATTTGTTTTTTTTTTGTTTGGTATTGTCTTCAATATATTTTAATCCTATGTATTTCAGAAATAAACATATTTGGACAACTCAATTATTATACATATAAATCATACTTTCATCAACAAAATTCATTATCAACACACTTTAATACTCCCTCCGTCCCGGAATTATCTTCATTCTTTCCTTTTCGGCCCGACCCAAATTTATCTCCTTTTTCCCTTTTTGGTAAAGAATATGTGGTTCACAACCATTCTTACACATTTCTCTCTCCTCTGCATAACTCTCCACCACACAAATCCCACTATCTTAAAACCCGTGCCCGGTCAAAATCGGAGTTAAATATGGGACGGAGGGAGTACTACGTATGTAATTTAAAGGGCCAGTACAACCTGTACAAGTGTACAACTAGACATTTGTATTCTTTGAAACTTGTGCGCTGTAAACCAGGGCAAGAAAATTTAAAGCACAGAAGTACAAGAGCATAGTGTCTTTTGTTTGTTATTATACGGAGTATATTGTTACTCATTTGTTATTGTTGTAATTCATTATTCATTAGTGTTCAACTGTTCACTGTTGTATTAAAAATAAGTCAATTTAATTGTTTGCGAGGGGAGAAGAGTGGTGCTCGATCCATGTTTAAGATTTAAGTGGATCACTTAAATGTTCATCTGATCTTATGGGAGGATTTGAACTGAAATTATGCATCGTGCATCAAGAAACAGTGTGAGAAATAACTTAGAGTGAGAGATTCCACCTATTAGACCAAGAAATAATCCAACTCTCTCGGTAGTTGTATTGGGAATTCGAGGAACGTAATCAATCAAGAACGATTTCTAGTGTGCAATAATGTGTAGATGACAGTCACAATCCAATAAATTGTTTAAGCGATTTAGATTTACTTCTTTCAACAATTCCGTGTGCTCTTTAGGAAGAACAAAGTTAGTTTAGATTAATCAGAATCACCTCATTAGGCTAATCCCAATGAGTGGGGTGAAAACCCCAATATTAAGGTTTTCGCTCCAAAGTAGCTCCAACCCGACTAAAAAATAGTAAAAGAAGGTGCCACAATGGCTAGGGAGTGACTTGCACAAAATCGTGTTGGCCCGCCCGACCTGGCCTGCTGCCCTGCAATAACAAATGGGCGGGCTTGGTTAGGGTGTAGACCCGTTCGGACCGATAATCCCGGCCCGCTACATTTAGTATATATAGTTATATATTTTTATATGTACACTAATTTATTTATTTATTTACATGCACACATGTATATTTATATTTACCAACTTATTTGTATACATATTTATACTACGTAGTTTATTATGTTTAAATTTGAGTTTTTAGTTCTTAACAACTAGCCCAACCAATAAAATATCTTTTTTTGTATTTAAAGATAATACTTTGTGATTGAATTTTAAATTTTAGATATAGTTTCTCATTATTATTTTTGTGTAAGTATTTTTTGTGTATGTGGTGAAAGGCCTATAAACATTATAAGCGTATTAGCAGTTTTTAAATGTTGTAATATTATTTATAAAGTATTAAAAAATTATATAAATTTTGAAAAATTTAAAGTTTTCCCGGGACGGGTGGCCTTGTAGACTACCCGACCCGCTCTTATGAGCGGGTATGAACATGAGGTTAGGCCCGTGTTGCGGGCCGGGTCGGACCCGCCCCACATGATGGGCAGACAATTTATAAAGAGTCCGACCCCAACCCGACCTGAACCCGTTTTTGTGCAGGTTTACTTTGGAGCACATCGGGCCTTTGGGGTGGAAGCGTGCCCACCTCATTCTATTGGTGCCGCTGATGACACTTATTTGGTACGGTCCGTCATCGAAAAGCACGGTTGGGAAAATGCTAACGCAAGGCGGTCGCAAGCTATCACGGAGGAGGGAGAGTAGGGGATCCCAGCAAAAACAAACTTTGTTATAACTTTTATTTTTATTTTAATTTTTATGAAAAATATATCAAAGTTCATAATTTTTAATACCTTTCATATGACATCAATATTGTATATATAAAATACAAAAATATATATATGAAATTTAACTGCTACGTACATGTTTTCAAACTCAATTTTTTTAAAATAAGTATTTATATTTTTCATGGTTAGAATATTTTATTTAAATATATCTGTTATATTTTTTCAAAATTAGGTATGAAGTAACAAAAAAAAATTAAACTCCAAATTTGTGTACTTGTACATCGAAATGTTTGACTTTAAATTACGTAGTATAATTATTGGTAAAAATAAAAAAATACGAATTTATGCATTTAATTAAAAAAAAAGTGCTAAGTGAATATATTGAGGGTAATAAGTAGTACTACTTTTGCCCCTCTAACATTCATACAAGAGGAAGAAGTGTAGTCATAAAGAAAAGTGAGTTTATATGATGATTAATATTGAATTCATGAAATGCGGAATAACGTATAGTAAAAATGATTTGGAATCACACAAATATAACTAAATTTGATATATAAAAACTTGATAAGACAGACTAAAACGGAAAAATAAAGATAATCTTAGCGGGACTAATACAACGTTTCAAAAGGTTGAATCTCCTATCCCAAGGACCCCTCACACCTCGACCCAACATGATTTTTTGGAGTGTGTGAGTCACGGTGACTCAGTCGGTCCAATGATGATAGACCTTATACTCGTGTGTACCATAGGTCCAACCCAGTACGCAAGAACTGTAACCTCCACACGACCACTGCGTGTTTCGAACCTTGGTCAATGATCCAAATTTTTCATCACTGAACCAACTGAGCTACTCGTGCGAGTTAACGGGGCTAATAGAAAGAGTATTGCGTACAGGGATGGATTTAAGGGAGGGGGGACCGCCCCCCTTGGACTTTCAATTTTTTTTATTATATATGTAATATTTTCATACTTTAATTAGATATATATGTTTTCGCCCCCCTTAACTTTTAGTTTTAAAAATTTATACTCCCTCCGTTTCTGAAACAAGTTCCACATTTGACTTCACACATATTAAGAAAATAAATTTGACTTTACTGTGGAGTCCACTGTTTGGCACTGTTTGAACACTGTTTGGCACTGTTTGAACACTGTTTGACACTGTTTGACATTGTTTTGATGTAGATAATTTGTCAAATAGGGAAATGTTTGAAAGTGGAACTTAATTTTAAATCTGCCCGAAAAGGAAAGGTGGAACTTGTTTCAGAAACGGAGGGAGTATATAGCATTACATAATGTAATACATAATTGAAGATTTAAAAAAAGTAACATCTAAAATAATTTACTTAACTTGAATGAATAAACAATAGCACAACCCATTGTTTAAGACATACGACATCTATTATATAAGGGGAAAATAATTTAATTATCCCAAACTTTGAAGATGTGTGATGTAAACATCCCAAACTTTCATATGTAATATTTATATCTCAAACTTTATATAAAAAGTAATATTAGTACCATGAAAATATGTTTTTTTCATTCACAATGTATATTTATGATGCTTTAACTACATCTCTATAAATAATTAACTATTTTAAAACATGTGCTTAACACCATAAGTTTAAATTTTTGAATAAAAACTACATAGTAATGGTGATAACATAACTTTTTATGTAAAGTTCGGGGTATATATATTACACATGTAGGTTTTGGGTACTTAACTCACCCTTTTAAAATTTGGGGTATTTAAATTATTTTCTCCATTATATAAAAATTTCTAGCTTTGTAATTTTTAATTGTCTTTATTAGATAATTAGTACTCAATTTTGTAAAATATCGAACAATATAAAATAGCATACACACTAGTTAAATAATTTTTAGATCATGTGAAGTGAATCTAAAATATAAATGTTTATTGACATTAAATTGCACAATTCATTTACTTATTACTTTCTAAAAACAATTTGTTGAATATATAGATAATAAACTTGAACTTACTGTAGCATTAATACAAATACAATATGCACCATATATGTGAATTAACAATACTATGTATAATATTATTCTAGAATAATAATATCACACATACTATTGTAATATTAAGAAAACTTCTCGTGACCCACGAACACCATCCTTAGTAGACAAAAATTGCAATTCAAAAACCAATTGTTTATTCTAATAAGATCCATATGGATAAACAAGGCATAAGTTATTTAAAAATATTGGTTGGTGTGTACCTTTTAAACTCTTTATCTTCAAATAATTTTCATTTGATTTGTCATTTCTTATGCTTTAATGTATCAATACTTTTTTAGAGCATTTACAATTTAAAAATTAAAATCATTTTTCCATTGTTTAAACATAGAATGTAATATTCTTTCAAAAAAAACTTAGAATGTAATAGATTTAAAAATCATCGTGTATGTATCAATGGATTTTTTTGAATGAAAATTAGGCGCAAAGCTCTATGTTAGCAAAAAAAATCACCCCGCTACACAATCAGAAAAAATTGCCACGATACACTAGCGAATTTTTTTCGCCCCCTATACTAACAGAAAAAATTCACCCCCTTGACTCGATATTCTGGATCCGTCCTTGATTGGTTATCTTAAAAGTAGAATGGACTTTATTGATCCGAGGATTACTTAGGTGGGTTCATTTTCTTTTGTAAACAAATGAATACATATAAATGATAATACTACGTAATTGATTTTGATAATTTTTTTGCAGAATGAAGTAACCTTCTCACCGACAGGGAGATGAAAGTGAGGACCATACACGTATGTATCGTACAGTAGTTTATACGACACAATGAAAGCATATACTACGTATGTCCCAACCACCATCTTTCTTTAATTATTTACTACGTATGTTCGAATGGATCGGAGTTGGGGAATTTTGTTGTACACCATTGTCACCACCAATGCTTCACATTGACATGTTCATATATGTGCATTTAATAATTTATAACCCCAGTTGGTTCAGTGATGAGAAATTTGGAACATTGAATAAAGTTCGAAACTCGCAACGGTCATGTGGAGGTTACAGCTGTTCGGAAATTGATGTAACGTACTTCGAAAGTACGGCAGCGGAAGTTTAAAAATTTCTCAAACAGATCTTCCCTGATTATGACAAAATAACGAATATGATAATAATAACAGATCTGAGTTAGAACTTACAGATCTTCCAGCCTAGCGGTAATAATCCTTGACCTTTGGTATCCACGTGATTTCTCCTTTCCGAAAGAACGGTTAGATTTCCCTAAGAGAAAGACTAGGAAATCTCTTCGCAGGGAAATAAACTGGTAATACTGAATCTTAAAACTGATATCAAATTATGAAGGAGGAGAGTGTATTTATAGTAGTTCTAAACTAGTTTCCCAATCACAATGAAAGTCTTTCTCATTAATGAGTTCTAGTCCTACCAGAACCAGTACTTATCAATAATTAAATAAAAACAATATACAATAGTAATAAGAGGGAGGGAGGGCTCACGCCACTCACCTCTTCTCTTTATTAATATATAATATTTTATTTCATTTATAATTCTAAATTACAAAAGAAAACATTACCTTTATTTAATTACAAATACATCTTAATTAAGTATAATAAATCTAATTTATCAGACTTAATTAATTCTATCAAATAGAACTCTCCTTCAACTTTATGAATTAAATATGTGTAATCTAATTAATTTTTAATTCATTTTCAGTATTACGAATTAAATATTATTTAATCCAATTAATAATATTTAATTCCTTCTAACAATTCAATCGGAAGGTATAATCACTTGTTGTGTGACCCATAGGGCCTTATATATTAAACACTAATCAAATTAAGGTCTTAGCGAATCCCTAGACGATTCTCCAGACTAACTTAATATAGGACGTTTGCGAGGACTATACAAACTTCCTGTAATATAGAGCTCATAGTGATACGGTCCTTTCATTCAGCGAACATTCAACTAAGTCTAGAACTTGATATTGTGTCTATTCCAATAACTTAGTCTCTATGTCTCAATCTTTCTAGATGATCCATAATGATCATATTCGATATCCAAAACGAATATATCTTTGCATTGGCCAATGACTTTATGATCCATCTAGATATGAGAAGTAGAATGTTCTCTCTTAATCTATTACGAGGAATGAATCCTTTCTTGGCTCAACTACTACTCCATGTGCTTCGTGATGCACCCAACACATGCCGTATCTACCCCGATTGGAGTGCAAGCGTTGGTCATGGTCAAAGTACATCACTCTGCACATGTAGTACGTATTGACCTCAAGTCGGAGAACTATTACACTACTTTATACACCGATAATCCCATAGACACATGAATAGAACTTATCAAATGGTTTCTCGGTGGGTATGTCAATATTCTCTAAAATATCTATGTGACCATCATGAATTACAAGAACTCATAGTCGTGAGATCAACCATACTTTCTAAAAGTATGATGCAGTCCACATACCAATCTTATCGCATATGATCAGTATCCCATTCTTGATGATCATTGATTGGGGCCTTTTTAGGACCTTATGTTATATCATCTAAGCTCTCACTTACTTATTGACAACATAAGTCCAAGGGAACACAATTATGAATAAGACATTGACAATCGAAATGCTTAATCATCAATGTGTAATACCGTATATATCAAATATATAAAACTGAATGTGATCAAGTACATATATCTCTAAAAAGTGATTGTCGCTAGGACATATATACTAACAACAGCTCCTGCGTGCTGAGCTGGATCTCTGGTGAGCACATGTGGCTTACCATCATTAGACCGATTCAACCACTGGGATTTACATCCTCCCAAAAACCATGTCGGGTCGGTGTGGGAGCGTTGGAGTTGGGGATTCATCCTTTGGAACATCCCATTTTTTAGTTACATTTGTACTTTTATTTTATTTAATTAAAAATTGATGGTATTGACAAAAGTTTTTTAAATATATTAAGGTGGTATCTGCGAAACATGACGCATGCCTAAGAACCATGACCACTCTCACTTGCATTATTATATGATTGAAGTACTATGTTTTAGGTTGTCAATTAAGACACTTTTTACAACATTAAAGTCTAATAACATCAAATCATGAATTCATGATAGTATAATTTGAGAATGACACTAATTCACTCATATTTTTGAAAAATATAGTACTCATTCTTGAGAAAATAACATTATTTTTCCGTGGGATAGTTACGTAAGGTTACTGAAATAAGTGTTTTAACTTTCTAATATTATCAAAGATAACTAAAAACTTAGAGTGTGTGATATAGCTGTGATAATTTCATCAATTCATTATGAGCCCGTTTGGTGACTTTTTTTCGGCTTATCAGTCTTATCAATCAGCTTTTTCATCAAACACGTAACTTTTGATTCGACACGTTGAAATTCGTAATAAGCAGAAAAAGTAAGGCTGAATTTACTTTTCTGGTTGTATTGGTTGAAGTTACTGTATATGATCATTTTAGCTATTTTTCATATATTTTTTTATTTAATTTATTAATAACAAATATTTTAAATATAAATTTTCATGAATCAGCAGAATCAGCCAATACAGCCACTTCAGTCGGAACTTCATAAATTTCAGCAGAATCGACCAATTAAGCCTATTTTAGGCTCTAGATATAATATAAATCAAAGTGCACACATTAATAACAACTCAAAAGACCTTGTAAACACTTAATGAATTGATCGAGTAGTGAGAGTCATATATTGGATCGAGGGTCTCCAGGTTTTTTAAAATATAGTACGTCAAACTGGTCCAATTTGTCAAAATTTTGGTAGAAAATCTACATCTATTTCTTTTCTTAGTATCTAAAAAGTATTCCCAAGTAGATTTCTCGAGTAGATAATGCTATAGCTATGTATGTTGGTGGTGACTGGTGAATTAGAAGTCACTTTCTTTTTGTATATATGGCTTCTTTGAAAAACATTATTAGTCCGATTTTTTAATTCGTACTCTCTGCCGACACTAAAATGTGCATTCATATCGCAATCAACAATTTAAATATTCCGTTAATGCGTCGTTTTTTTAAATCCTTATGATTGACCAATATATTGCGCTTTGTTGTTAGCCACCGACAGTGTAGTCATGACAGCGGAATAGCTCACCATTTGTTTATTGCGAGGTATAAATGATTAAGGATGTTTATAATAGGACTGAGATTTTATAGTATACTCCGATTTGATTTGTTTTGGTTTGGTTTGTTCAGAATTGATATGATATTTGTATAGTGTATGCGTATTTTATAATTGTTGAAGTTTAGTCTGATTTGTTTAATTCTGGTTGGATTGATTTGATCTGTTTGTGTTTGATCTCTTCTTATATGAGACTCAAATAAGTCTAAGTAAAAACATCATTACAAGAATATTCTTTGCTTTCTAGAAAACTGGAAAACTGAAGGAAGGAAAATTGGAAAACGTGTTTAACTATTTATTCTCCGAAACTAAAAAGTGATACTCCCTCCGTCCCTGAAAATACTTCCAACTTTCCCTTTTCGTCCGTCCCAAAAAGAACTTCCCTTTCCTTTTTTGACAAAGAATTTGTGGTTCACAACATTTCTCTCTCCTCTGCACAACTCTCCACCACACAATTCCCACTTTCTTAATCCACGTGCCACTTTATTTTGGAAGTAAATTATGGGACGGAGGTAGTACATGTCTTTGATTTTCTTGTTAAGTTGGAGAAGTCAATTTTCCGTGTTTTCTAAATGAAAATACGCACGCTCAGTGGGTCATGTACTTTTTTCACAACACTAGTGTAGGGGTAATTTTTTAAAACCATACTAGTATTTTTTTTTTTGAAATCTATGCAACAATGTATGTTTAGTAATTAGTTTTATTTATTAAATCAGAATAGTCAATTTTCACGTTTTTAGTGTTTTATGCTCCCCTGTCTCAATATTATGGTTTCGTTGTGGTTTACGATTCTTGACCGAATATAAAGAAAACGGATCCCTGTTCGCACTCAAATTTTTTTACAAAAAATTACATATTCAAAAACTACATTAAAAGTTTTACAAAGTCGCAATAATCAGAATCAAATTTGATAGAAATTTGTTACTCCGTATAAAGTAAGAGTGATGGATAGTCTACCCGGGGGTATATATCCGAAGAGTTATTACGGGGAATAACTTAGAGAGAAGTCAGAGCAAGTAAGTAAAAGTAGAGAGAGGGTGTATTCAGTATGAATGCCGTTTTCAGCGTGGTTACAAATGGGGAAATGGGGTGCTATTTATAGTAGCAATAAATGCCGCATGTGGCCGCATTTAATGCGGCTGTTGGATGGGACGTCTGTGCAGGGTACGGTGATCTGTACGCATGTGAGGCGGATATCTTGTCGAGCGAGATGCCTTCGGCCATAGAGCAGTAGCCGAGGGCTCCTCCAACCGATGGCACCCTGGTGCCGAGGGCTCACAGTGCCGAGGGCTACTGTTTTCGCCGTTTTCTCCCAGTTTCTTAATTTGCTTGAGAAACCCGTTCTGCGAGAGTTTAGAGCCTTCGGCCAGGGGGCCGAAGGCACCCCTGGCGCGTAGTGTGGGCTGCTTGGTACTCTGGGCGCTGTGATTTGGGCCTGTTGGACCTTCTGGGCCTGTTGGGCCTCTAAAGGAGTAGTAGGAGTCTGTGGGCCGGGTGTTCCCGGGCCATATACTCCATCAGGAGTCCCTCACTCCTTTTGCCGAAAGGTACTTGAGGGAAAAGGAGTAATTTGTGCTTGCCCTTTGATGTTGTCCCGTCGTGATCTCTGAAGTTGGTGAGGAGTTGTTGCTTTTATGTCCCTGCCGAAGGCAGTCCCTCAGTTACCCACATGTCGGGACTTGAGGGCTTGCCTTGTCGTTTGTTGGAATTTCACTAATTTCGTAATTTAATGATTTTCCCGAGGGGTCCTCCAGTCCCCCACTCCTTGAGGCACTTGTAAAGTGGTGAAAAGGAGTAGAGTAGTTGCGTTGCTGTTGTGGGCCGATGGATGACGTTTTTTCGTTTCATTTTGGGGGGATGCCTCGTTAAAAACCTCATTAGGAAAAACCCTTTGGGAAAAAATCCTAATGAGGGAAAAAGAGTGCACCGAATTCCCCCAATGATGAATCGAAAATGTCAAACCTTGGTAAAAAATGGAGAATGACGGGAATGCCGAAGGCTATCTCTTCTGAGGGCTCCTGTGTTGATTAGCCGAAGGCTTGCTGTTGATGTCCTGGTGGCGCCGAAGGGGAGCCCCTCAATTCGGGGATCGAGGGCCTGCTGGATGAGGGCGGCAATGGAGTTGTTACCGGGGGGTCCACTGTTTGTTGATTAGTTGGTGATGAAGATACCCGAGGGCTCCCATTACCTGTGTGCCATGGGTCATCCGTCAATGAGGCAACTCCCCGGGGGCTACCCGGTTTTGAAGTGCTGAGGGGGAATCCCCGAGGGGTGCCCTGATATGAAGCCTTGGGGCTCTGCAGGAGCGATCCCGAAGGCGTCTATTATGTGCTGTGTGGGGCACAACCCGGGGGCGCTTCTGGGTAAGTGTACCCGGAGGCTATCCTTGATGAAGTGGAGTGAAGTAGAAAACCCGGGGGCTTCCAGAATATAGCCGTTGGGAATATAGCCGTTGGAATATGTAACGTCAGGATATAGCCGTTGGGGGGGGGGGGGGGCTCACGTGGCGTGTGATGACTGGCTGTCCGTGGGCGGCATCGCTAGTTGGGTGAGGACGCGGTGTGTAATGATGGCGGTCCATCCGGAGGCCCGGAATTCAGGCCCAAGCCCGGATTCCATCGCCTATAAATACCCCAAGGCCAGAGCCATTTCCTATTGTGCGATCAGTTGTCTTAGCGAAGCTCTGCCAAAAGTTCTAGTGAGAGAAACTCAAGCCTTCGGTCCTAACTCAGCTTTCGAGGTCAGTGCTCCCTGCCTTTCTCCTTCTAGTATAGTTGTGCATTGTGCCCTCGGGTTAGGAGATAGAATTCACTAGAAACCTTAGTTCCCCCGAACCCTCGAGCTAAAGTTAGAATGTCATCCCAGAGTGACTCTCAGGACATCTCGAGGACGCCCTCGATGGAGGACGAAGGCATCTCCGACGTGGAGTCCAGTAGCGGTCAGCCCTCGGATGGTGGTGACGCAGCCCTCGCCACTGAGGTGCAGAAGGATCTGATGGCCGAGGCCGAGGCGGAGGAATTCGAGCGAACTGCCGAGGATGAAGAGTTGGCCCTCGCCCTCCAAGTTGCTGAAGAGGAGGAGGAAAAGGAGAGGGCGAAGGTCACTGTGGCCGTCCTCCCCCCTCAGGGTGATGGTGAGGCCAGTACTTCCCAGCCGCTGAATGCAGTTCCCATCCGGGTGGCCCCCGGGAAGAAGAAGGCCAAGGCAGCTGCCCCCAAGAAGAAGGTTATTGCTGCTGATCAGGGGAAACCCGTAGACATGCCGGAGGGGTATTCCTGGCTCAACACGGCTGCCTTGGAGATAAAGTCGAAGGCGGACAGGGCGGACCTTTACGTGACGCAGCTACATGTAGGGCCCTCGGCCGTGGTGGTCGAGCCGGGAGTTGACGACGTGCTCTCTCGGGCGCCTGAGGGGTGTATTGCAGTACACGTACTGTCGGTCTCCATGGGCCTTCGGTTCCCTCTGCACCCTTCCTCCGGGAGTACCTGAGGTTTGTTGGCTTGGTACCCTGCCAGCTGACACCTAATAGCCACTCCTACGTGGCAGGTTTTTTAAACCTCTGTAGGGACCGAGGGGTGACCCCCAGCCTGGACTTGTTCTTCCAGAGCTTCAACCTCTGTCGAGGGGGTCATGCGAATGCCGAGGGCTTCGCCAACCTGCAGCATGTGGCTAGGAGGAAGCTGTTTACGGAGGCGCCTTCGTCCAATAAGGGCTGGAAGGAGCGTTGGTGCTATGTCAGGGTTGCTGAGAACCCATTCCCGGCGGAACTTCGGGATCGCTTCCGTCGGCATCCGAAGGTTGGAAGCGCCGCCCTCGAAAAAGATGGCCTGGTGATAGCCAAAATCCCTGAGGGTCGCACAAAGCAGGTCTCCATCAAAGACTACACTGCCGACAAGGGACTCTACGCCCTCGGCTTTCGGAGATATCGATTCATTGGGGAAGCGGACGAGAAGTACCCCATTTTTGCTGAGGCCTTCGGGGGAGCAGGAGGTAGTCTACGAGGTCCCTCGGTTTTCATATCTTAGCACATAGCTTATCTTGTTCGTGTTTTTTTTCCTTTTTATTCTTTGTGCCTTCGGTCAGTAACCCCTCGATTTTAACCCCATACCTTTTTTTGCAGGTGTCCCAGTGAAAATGATGAACGTCAGAGGCCTTGCAGACCTGAAGAAGAAAAAACCCTCCAAGGGCCCGAGGGGGACGGACGCTGATGTCCCAAAACCCGCCGGTGACTTCTTCAAAAAACCGGAGGGGCCGTCGGTGGGCCCAAGTGCTGATGCTGCCGTTGCTGCCAAAAGGAAGGGCTCGGGCAGAGATCCCGAGGGCAAGAAGCCCAAGACTGGGGATGCCGGGAAGAAAGTCCCCCCGGTGATCATTGTTGATGAAGGCCCTGCCTCCGGGGCGAATGAGGACATGCAGGTGGCGAAAGTGCCGCCGGGAGTTCAGGGGCCATCTTCCGAGGTCCTCATGGTTTCCCTCCCGGCTGGTACGGCCGTGATGAACGGTACGGCCGACCTGAGGGCGCTTCTGAGAGGCATCACCCTCGAGATTGACAGAGTAGCCCTCGGGGCTGATGAAGACGAAGCCCTCGAGGACAGGATCCTTCGGTCTTCCCTCACAGTAAGTCTTTTATGTTTATATCTTTCTTTTTTACTTCGAGCTAAGAAACCATGTTTGGCCTCGCTAACCCCTTTGTTTTTGTAGACCTGCATTGCCCTCGGGGAGCAAGCCCGGCGGCTAGAGGAGTGGCGCCTTCGCAAGGCCGAGCAGGAGGCCAAGATGCGGGAGCTCATCCGCCAGAATGCTGACGCTGTTCGGCAGATGGCTGTGCTGGAGGAGAGCCTTCGGCAGATGACCCTGCGGGCGGAGGCCGCAGATCGGGGCAGGGCAGAGGCTGAGAGGTCCGCAGCTGAGGCCTTGGAGGGAGCTGTCAAGGAGGCTGAGGCCGTGAAGGTGGAAGCCGTCGAGAGAGCCCGAGGGGACGCAATCTCGGGGTTCTTGGCAGGGGGTGGCGGTCCGAGGAGCACAAGCAATGCCTGTCCTCGGTCGTCGAGTCCTCGGTTGACGAGTGGTGTGATGGGCCTGGCGTGGAGTGGGTTTCCCGAAAGGGTAAACAATACTATGATGGGGGCGAGTTTTTCACTCAAGCCCTCATCTACCAGAGGATGGCTCGCCACTTGAAGATCGAGCCAAAGGACTTTGACCCGGCAGCATACGGGCTCCCCCCTGCAGCCAGACATCCGCGTTCCTCTTCCCCCCGATGTCGAGAGGCCAGACCTGGAGGACTCTGAGCTCATGAAGGAAGCCGAGGGCGACGAACCTGAGGCCGACGCAGAAGTCACCTCGAAGCCATCGGGGGAATGACATTATTTGATATGTATTTTGTATTATGTAAACATGTATTTGTAATGGTGACATTATTCATCCTTCGGCTTCGGCCTGCTTGTAACATTTATTCGTAATCACATTTGCCCTCTGTTTGTTGATGATTGAATGATTGCCTTCGGGCTCTGTTTATATGACTTGTTTTCTCCAATTCCTTTTTTCTTGAATGTATGCCTCCGTTTTCCTTGAGTGTATGCCTTCGGTATATTTGAATGTATGCCTTCTCTCCTTTGAATGTATGTTTTAGGACTTAGAGTATTTTCTGATTGTAGCTTGCCCTTGGAAGCCTTCGGTAGTTGGGCACCCTCTGCTGGACATACAACCGAGGGTTCAACAATAATTAGGACTTAGAAAATTTTTCTAAGTGTAGCACAGCATGGGGCCTTCGGGTGTTTGTAGTAACCCAATTCCTAGGACTTAGAAAAATTTCCAGGTGTAGATTTTCCCTTGTGAGCCTTCGGGAAATGGGATCCCTTCCTGATGTGTGAATATTGGACCGAGGGCCCAATGTTCAGGACTTAGAAATTTTTTGCAAGTGTAGCATGTCATGTAGCTTTCGGCTACTGTGGAGCCCCAACTGAAATCTTGATTAGGCCAGGGGCCAATTCTTTAGGACTTAGAAAATTCTCTTCAGTGTTACTCCTTGTATATTGTAGCCCTCGATTGATAGGTAGCCTTCAGGTGAAATATGTAGGACTTAGAAAGATTTCTAAGTGCAGTTTTTCCCTTGGGAGCCTTCGGGAGATGGCATCCCTTCTTGATGTAAGAGTAGTTGACCGGGGGGAAAATATGTAGGACTTAGAAAATATTCTAAGTGTAGATTTCCCCTTGGGAGCCTTCGGGAGATGGCATCCCTTCTTGATGTAAGAGTAGTTGACCGGGGAAAAACATGTAGGACTTAGAAAATATTCTAAGTGTAGATTTTCCCTTGGGAGCCTTCGGGAGATGGCATCCCTTCTTGATGTATGAGTAGTTGACCGGGGGAAAAATATGTAGGACTTAGAAAATATTCTAAGTGTAGATTTTCCCTTGGGAGCCTTCGGGAGATGGCATCCCTTCTTGATGTAAGAGTAGTTGACCGGGGAAAAACATGTAGGACTTAGAAAATATTCTAAGTGTAGATTTTCCCTTGGGAGCCTTCGGGAGATGGCAACCCTTCTTGATGTATGAGTAGTTGACCGGGGGAAAAATATGTAGGACTTAGAAAATATTTTAAGTGTAGATTTTCCCTTGGGAGCCTTCGGGAGATGGCATCCCTTCTTGATGTATGAGTAGTTGACCGGGGGAAAAATATGTAGGACTTAGAAAATATTCTAAGTGTAGATTTTCCCTTGGGAGCCTTCGGGAGATGGCACCCCTTCTGATTCCACATCACTTTGCGAGATGCCCGGGGGCTGCTCATTTAGGACAAAATATTTTTTAAGCGTTGTTGTATTGCCTGGCCTTCGGCTACCATATTCCCTTGGCAGTAATATTGATTGGGCCGGGGGCCCAATCTTTAGGGCTTAGAATTTTTTCAAGTGCTGCTTCCTTGTGTAGCCTTCGGGTGATAGGTGCCCCCTGACTCTACATTACTTTGCGTAAATTGATGTTGAATCCTGTTGTTGTGAAGAAGGCCAATCAGGAGTGTGTTCCCTCGACATACACTCTAAAGAGTTGTAGAGTTTGACTCAGCCAGTTGTGTCCCTTGTAATGGGGTAGGGGCCCTCGGTATTAATGTATAATAGTTGCCTTCGGTACATATTTGAAGGTACCGTATTAGTGTACTTTGGATAGTCTAGTTCCTTTGTATTGTTGAAGCCTTCGGTGTTTGTGTGACCGGAGGTGACTAGGCAGTGGACTTAGCCGTTCCTTGCTGCTATTTGTTCGAGTAGTATCCTTCGGGAAATAGGAGCCTTCAGTTACCGGAGGTGTTCTCGTAGGGAGCCCTCGGCTTGTTGTGATCTGTTGGAGTGTACTCTTTGATTTCTCGCTGAGTCTACTCCCCTTCACCCCCTTTGTTTTTTTTTGGGTTGGTGGTGAAGGGAAGGCATCAAGAAACTTGGTTTCTTGGTAAGGCTGGGCCTATTAGGAGACCATCAGAATACATCAATGGCTCTCCTCCCTCGGGTTAACCTTCCGAGTTCCGAGAGGATCGAGGGTCGTTTCCTGGGCACAAGATATGGTGGTCCGTAACCTGCCTCCCCTTGGGGGATGGCGCGGAAAGCGCCTCATTTTTGAAAGTCGTCCCCTCGGCGCCAGACATAGTCCGTGGCCTGCCACACCCTTGGGGTGGTGGCGCGGGGAGCGTTTCGGTTTGGAAGTCGAATCCTGGGCATTTCTCGTGCCTGTCACACCCTTGGGGTGATGACGCGGATAGCGTTCCGTTTTTGAAAGTCGAATCCTGGGCATTTCTCATGCCTGTCATACCCTGGGGGTAATGACGCGGAAAGCGTTTCAAGGAAGGGTTTTCATTTGCACACTAGTTGCAAATGGCCGGGGGCACTACGTGCCGCCGGCACCGATGGTGGCGCCTTCGGTATATGCGTCCTCGTGGGGTACGGCTTTTAGAAACAACACTTGGTGTTAGTTTCGATGTGTAGCCCCCGGTACTTGGTACCGAGGGGTCTTCTGTAGGAACACTTGGTGTTCTCTTTTGTCGTAGTTGATGTAGGCGTCTACCCTCGGTACTTGGTACCGAAGGTTCTTCAAATGAAACACTTGGTGCTTCCCAACAGATGTTTGGAAGTTGATAGGAGAGCATATCCCTGGCACTGGGTGCCGAGGGGTCTTCTTTGAAACATTTGGTGTTTTTTTTTTTTCGATTCGATGTTTGATGATGGAGGTGTACCCTCGGCACTGGGTGCCGAAGGGTCTTCTGTAGGAACACTTGGTGTTCTCATCTTTTTCTTTTTTGATGTTGAAGGTGGGAATGTACCCTCGGCACTGGGTGCCAAAGGGAAATGAAACACATGACGTTCTTTGTTGTTGGTGATAGGAGTTCCCTCCCTCGGTACTTGGTACCGAGGGGTCTTGACTGAAAACACGTGGGGTTTTCACCGTTGTTTTAGGTGTTGATGGTGTCCGCCCTCGGCACTTGGTGCCGGAGGGGGTTCTTCTCGTGGTGAGGCCGGGGGCCTGTAGTCAGTATGAGGGCTTGATGTCTTGAATGTATCTTCATTCTTCGAAATTGAAGGCCTTGGGCCATAGGATAGTACATTCACTAGTTATGAGGGCTTGGCCGCTCTTACAATATTGATAAAATTTAACTAAGTGGTGTACATTCCAGTGCCTAGGGACTTCTTTCCCGTTGGGGCGTTTGAGCTCGTAGGTCCCAGGTTTGATGATGGCTGCTATGATGTAGGGGCCTTCGAATTTTGGTGCCATTTTTCCTCCCTCGGTTGGTTGGCTGGCTTCCCTCCTCCGGAGGACATAGTCCCCCACTTGAAATTCTCGGGTGCGAACTTTGGCGTCGATGTAGCTTTTAACTTGCCTTCGGTAGTTTTCCGCCCGGATGAAGGCCTGCTCCCGGCGTTCTGAAATGAGGTGGAGGTCGAGGGCCATGTTGCTGTCGTTGACCTCGGGGTCATATTGGATCACCCTTCGGGTGGGAAGGGTGACTTCCGTAGGAGCTTTGGCTTCAAAACCGTAGCAGAGGGAGAAGGGTGTTTCACCTGTTGCTCGCCGAGGGGTGGTGCGGTAGGCCCAAAGGATGTTGTGGAGTTCTTCCACCCAGCCACCACCCTCGGCCTCCAGCTTCTTTTTGAGGCCCTCGAGCAAGGTCCGGTTGGCGTTTTCTACTTGCCCGTTGCCTTGAGGGTAGGCAACGGAGGAGAATGTGTGTTTGATGCCCCATGCCTCCAGAAGGGCACAGAAGGGGGCTGCCTCAAATTGTGTCCTATTGTCGGAGATGATCTGCTGGGGGACGCCAAACCTTGTGAGGATGTTCTTGAGGACGAAGTGACGACACTTCGCCTCTGTGATGCTGGCGAGGGGTTCAGCCTCCACCCACTTGGTAAAGTAGTCGACGGCCACGATGATGTATCTGTTGTTGGAGGTGCCCCTCGGCAGAGGGCCCACAAGGTCTATCCCCCATCGAGAAAAGGGGACAGAGGTGCTGATGGGGGCATAGTTGACCGCTGGCCTGCCGGGAGCTTTCTGGAAATGTTGACATGCGGTGCACCTCCGGGCAAGGTCAGCACAATCCCTGGCCATGGTTGGCCAGAAGTAGCCCTGGAGAATGAGCCTTCGGGACATGGAGAAGGGTCCCTGGTGAGCTGAGCAAGTGCCACTGTGCACTTCCTCCATTGCGACCTCGGCTTCATCTGGATGAAGGCACCGAAGTAGCGTGCCATTGTAAGATCGTTTGTAGAGCCTTCCATCTTCGATGGTGTAGCTAGGAGCCCTCAGCTTTGCCAGTTTAGCGCGGGCCTCATTCTCGGGTAGCTGCCCTGTGGAGATGAAGGTGGTGATATCTGAGATCCAATCCTCCTGACGTTGTTGTATGTTCATAACGGGGCTTGCATGGATGCTTGAGAGGCTGAGTTCCCCGATTTTGGCAATTTTGGAGATGTGCTCGGGGGAGTCGGCCGAGAGCTTAGATAATATGTCG